GTCGGTGGAGACTGGGGGTCTATGTTTGAGTTTACTTAAAGGAATTGGCATACGTCTATGCTATCAACTTAAACTTCTGGCATGATGGTTAGTGTTTTGTTCTTAAGGTTTGATCACCTATCATGTTATTACCAATGTGATGCGATGCATCCAGGGGTCTGAGGGGTGTGGATTATGTTCGGCCAAGTAATACCTAAAGTTGGTAGAGACTAGATGACCCATGTTTGAGCTTACTTAAAGTTGGTTTAAAGGGTGTTTAAGCCTTTACTATCAGCTTAAACATTTGGTACAATGGTTAGTGCTTCATTTTTTGATTTGATATCAAAGCTTGTACAGATTTGATGTTACTTTTGTTAAAAGAGATTTGAGGCCAAACCTCCTTTAAGAGCAAGGAAATGGCACATACGAGTATCGTGTGAACTGGGTTTAATCAGGTGGCAACCAAAGTCTTGTGGATAGGAGGCCAAGTCTAAGGTAAGTACTCCATTCTTAAGGTTTGACATCAGCTTAAGTTTTTGGCATTATGATTATATCTTCATTTCTAAATCTTTGCACACTCTGTAATATACATTATAACAATCTCCTAGTAAGTGTGAGTCTATGATTGACCAAATAAGCATACTTCCTAAGAATGAAACCATGGTCTAAGCATGTATACTAATCTCTATGGTCAAATTCTTTAGAATAATCTCCATCCATCATTATCTCCACCTACCTCAACACCATTTATTATCACCAGAGTCATCATCTTTGTGCCTTATTTAATATCCAAAGTCATTTTCAAATTTTTATAACCGAAATTGTTAATATTTAAATGAGCATTTAGGTCCTAAAATGCTCATATGCTCTATATCATGACTATATTTTTATATTTTCAATATGTTAAAAAATCCCATCATCTTCAGTAACAAGTCAAAATTAGAATATCAATTAAACTTTTACATTTCAATGTCAAATTTTGAAAAATTAGAAAAATTGTTTAATTTATTTAGAAAAAATTTTGAAGTTTAACTAATAAATATAGGTGTATGATTTAATGCTTATCTTTTACAATTTTTTACTAGTTTATAAAATTTGCAACGATTTTTTTTTTTTCAGTTTCTAACATCAAACAATTTATGGAGAAATTAAGTCAAGTTCTCTAATCATGCATGACTATGTGTCTTTTTTCGTTTCACTTAAATTTATAATTAAATATTACTAAATGTTAGTATTTCAAAAATAAAATAATATACATAGTCATATGTGATAGGAGAATTTGATATAATGGATATAAAAAATTTGACGTAAGTATCATGCATGAAGTAATTTTATTTTGTCTGTTAAATTATTAATGTCTTTTGCTCCTTTATTGAAATTTTTAAGGGAGAATTCTAATCTAATTCGGCTGAAATATCTAAATTCAAATTAAGGCATATATTTTTAATGAATTTCTAATCAAGCTATGCAGTTTCATTAGAAATTTATGATTGTTACTAAATGACTAGCATGCATCTCTTTAATTTGAAAGAAAAATTGAGTTTCGTTTTTTTTTACCCCTTTCAAGTAGTCTTTCATATCTTATGATTATTTTGTGAGACTAAAAAACACATTTTTATGGTGTTTAAAATTTGTATATAAATAACTAAAACCTTCAAAAATATTTTAATCTAATAATTTAAGTACTTTAAATTACAATATAAGTACCTTTTGAAGAAAAATATTCTTTTAAAAAATATTTGTTGTAATTGATATAAATAATATTTCAAAACAGAACAAAATAATAAATATTTTTTATTTTGTGAATCCAACATTTACTTAAGTATATAAAACTACAGTAAGTTATAAAAATATAGTATTAAAATATTTCATGTAATTAGAACATTTTAAGATCTTAAAATAAATATCTACAAACAAAAAATAAAAAATATTTATTTTAAGACTATTTCTGTTTTAATTTAAAATTTTTTATTATAATATTTTTGAAGTAAATGCAGACAAATTTTGAATACTATTAAATGACTTGGGCTTGTTCTAAAAAATAATCATAAGAGATAAGAGATTATTTAGAAGGAGTAAAATAATCATTTTTTTCTATTAAAGAGAGGTATTTTAGTCATTTAACAATTTTTTCTATTAAAGAGAGGTATGTTCTAAATTAAGCCTCATGACCTGATTAAGAATTTGTTAAAAGTGTAAGTCTTAATTCAAATTTAGGTATTTCAGTCAGTTTTATTAAAACTTTAGAAAGTGAACTTATATATCTTAGAATCCTTACCAAATATGAGCTCATAGAAAGTGAACTTCCCCAGAAATAGTAAATAAATCTTATTGAGTTTGTTAAAAAGGTTTTTGCTTATTTTAACCTTACACTTCCTGAAAAATAATACTAAAATACTATAACCTCCTGTCCTAATTATAAAATCTAATTGGCTAATTTAAAGAAAGTAAGAAAATAAGTTAAATTAGTTATTTATAATAAATATGTATTGTCTTTCCTAAAATATCATTGCTAATCAAGTGTATTAGTTAGAACTACCATTATTAGAAGGACTATCTTGAAAAAAAAAAGGATAAATATGAAAGATAAAGTGGATTGAGGTCATTAAGGATCAGAGGTAGTATGTATTAAAAGGTTTGCATATAAAGGTTTGCAAACTAGGTCTTATATTCATTAACTGATTAGCATGTTAACTTATTAAGAGTTAAGGAATAAATTTGTTTTGAAAGTTTTTATGTTATGTAAAATATAATTAGGATGAGAGAGAATGGAAAAAGAGATGGGAACAGAGGAAAATAGAGAGAGGAGAGAGATTAAGAGAAAGAGAGGAAAAAGAACAGAGAAAGGTTGAGAGAAATTGGAATGGAATACTGCATATCATCCACATCATAATCTCCTTTACAATACTGCATATTAACCAGTAATGGCCACCATTCTTAACTATCCTAACTAACTTTCTTTTATTTATTACAATTACATACCAATACCCCCCTCCCCAAAGACCCTTGCCCTCAAGGTACACAGAGCCCTGCACCCAACCAGAGCCTTGGAGCATTTTCATTAGCTTTCCCTTGAACCAAATCGGAACCATAATTGTTGGAGGCTTGATTGAATCAATCCAATACAGCAATGTACTTGGGTCGTTCTCTTGAAAAACAAAGCCCATATAACCGCGTATCGCATAATACTCTCACTACTTAAAGAAGGGGGGAGACAGCTGGGCATTTGACTTTTCAAACTGAGCTCTTGCGTGCCACGTACACTGCATAACTAGTTTTGTCCTTCTTGAAGCATGCGCATGATCATTGCTCTGCATGGTGCTTTGGGTATGCATGAGAAACAGAAATGGTGAAGAAAGAGGATTCAACCACACAAAGGAGATAAAGACCGTCGACCAAGAACCAAGAACCAAGAACCAAGAACTAGTGTCAAGTGTAAAGAGGAATCTTGTTCCTTTACTTTGTCCGCCTTCATGATGTTGCTGGGTTTCGAGACTCTTGTCATAGAGCAAACAGGACTCAAGAAAACATAGTTTACTTGAGAGACTATTATAATGTGAATGCTGGGACTCACTACTCACAGATGCTAAACTTGTGTTTTGCCACGTCCTTGGGTTGCAACATCTAGAGGAGAACCCATGCTTCTTCACCCCTGTTTCGTTTGTCATCTTTGCATCGAAGTTCTTCTTTATCACTCTCGAATGGGTTTGTTTTTAATCAAAATACGATAAACAGTAAAATATTAATATGTTACATTTTAAAAAATATTTACCAATATGCTGTATTTAAAATCGTTCTTGCAAAGAACGATTTGTATATAATTTGAAAGTCATTCTATCGTTTTTAGCACAAACGATTTCACTTTTTAAATTTTTTTATTCAAAAAGTAAAATCGTTCACACCAAAAACGATTTTACTTTTTCCTATTCACTCACCATGCGAGAGAATCTTTGTCAATTATGCGTGCAAGACTAATTATGCATGCAAGAATAAGATCTCTGACAATGGTTGTGAGAATCCCATTGCTCCCATGAGGCTACAACGTATATGGCTTTATTATATATATTACATATGAATTACTTCTTCTTCTCTTTCTCTTACTTCATCTCTTACTTCTTCTTCTTCTTCTTCTCATCACTTGTTTTATTTTCATTATTCTCTTATACTGTTATTTTTTTACTCTTACTTTTAAACAAGACAAGCTTTTTTACTGCTACTGTAAGTATATTATTTCTCTTCTATTTTTTCTTTTAAAAAATTTACAGTTGTGATATACAATTTGATTTTTCATCCATACTACCCTTGATGAGCTAATATTTCATTATTCTAATTTTTAGGTGAGTGGTGGGTTCAACAATGTAGAATATTTGTACTCTTTCTAAGCTAGGTGCCTCTTATTTTAACAGTAAAACTATTATCTGTTATATTGTTTTAAGATGTTAAGATTTTAATATAGGCTTCATTTTTTTTAGTATATGATTATTATTTTTTCTTATGAAAATATACTTCTCGAGAAGTTTAGATTTGGTAAGATAAAAACTGAAAAATAATTATATATACACCCTAAATATCAAATATGTGGTATATATTAAGTTGGTAAATTAAAAAAAAAAAGTGTTCTACCCACTTCTAATGGACTATTGCTTTCATATATTTTTTAGATAAAAATAAGGTGTAAGTAATGAAAAACTGAAATGAATGAAGAACACTTATAATTTCTTTTTTTCATTTTGCCTTTTCTGTAATATCCTAAATTAATTTTTAGAATTTATGTAAAATATATATATAGATATAATAATAATATTTTATTATAATATTTAAAAAAAGAAGTCAAACTTTCTATCAAATTCGATGGAAAGTTTGAGGAGAGGTTAGGGGTTGGGGGTTGGGTTTGAAATCCCCCTCCCCCAATAAATGTGTGGGGGTGTTAAATACACCCCTCACAATTCATTTCCCCTGCGGACGCAAGAAGAAAAGAGAGAAAGAGAGTTGAAGTATGAGTGAGAGAGAGGAACATACCGGTGAAGGAGAGGGTGAGTTTTGAAGATATTTTAGGTACATAAAATTACTTCTTTTTATCAAACTTTCTTTATGAATATTTCCTGTATGTTTTGAGCTTCCTATTTACATTATTACTATAGTGATTTGAGAAAATTTTGAGACTTATATGTGATATAAGTATTGAGTTTTGATAAAAGGTAGCTATAGAAATTTAGAAGTGAATGAGTTGTTAATTTTCATCGGTATAGATTTGTCTATTTATTAGTTTTAGTATTTAAATCAATTTATTTAGTTGAAAATCTGTTATTTATGGGATATACCATATTTTTACCGATTAAATTTAAGTTAAATAATTTATTTGCATTGTTTGACATTGTTTGACATATTATTGATATTTAATCGGTGTGTAGTTTTATTTATTGGATGACTGGAGGTTTTAAAATAATTATTGTAGCTAAAAAGTTTATTATTTACGGAAATATATATATGGTAGTTATACCAATAAAGTTTTGATTAGATTATTTATTTATAAATATTTGAAGTATTATTGAATTTTTTATAGTTTGATTTTGAGGTTTAAACTTAAAATAAGATTTTTAGAATTTAGAAGATAATAATTTTATATTTGGAAATTGTGGAAAATCTTTTTTATTAAGGTAAATAATTTGGAGGTGGTAAATAAATAATTTGAGTTGATAGAAATTTTAAGTTGTTTCTAAAATACTTAATAATTTTTGGGTTATGAGAGTTGCGGGAATTTAGAATAAAAATTTAATTAAATTAGAAATTTAACTAATATAGATAAGTTTAATTAATTAATTAGTTTATATTAATATGTGGTTATATTAATTGTGTAGATTAATTATTCGTTGAGCAAAGGATTGACCTTGTGGTAATCCTTAGTGTTGCTTTGGCGAGAGGTAACCACTTTCCACTTATTATATGTGCTAATATATTGTTTGTGAGTATTTTGCTATTTTAGAATAATATTTGTTATTTGGAACTCGAGTAGATATGTTATATCTTTTGAGCTATGAAAATTGTCTTGTGGGATTTTTGGAATTGTGATTGAGAAGTTTGGAAAAGATATATGATTTATATCTTATGGATTATACTGGAAAAAGATTGAGACATTTTTGTTATATTGTGAATGATTGGTTGTTATTTGGATTTTGGATTGAGCTCTATCCTACCACGTGGTAAGGCCGCCATTGATGCACATTAGTTGGCTTCTTCCTTCATCCCTAGAGTAAGGGATAGACCTTTGTGGTTTTTTATTTGTCCCCAATGTGTGGGATAGGCCTATAATAAGGGATGGACCTTTGTGACTACTTATTCGTCCCCCAAAGTATGGGATAGGCCTATATGTCGGATTGATCTCCTATAGTGAGAGATAGACTTATGTGGCTTGTATGTTAACCCCCGTAATGAGGGTTTGGATGATTGAGATTATTTGAATGTACATATTTGTATTTTCATTGATATATATATTGAGATTTAATAATTATCCCACTTGACACCTCACGAGCACATGTTAGTATGTATGGTGAGTTGGAAAGTTAGTTACTGAGGTGTTTGTCTCACCCCGTGGTTTTTATTATCTTCAGGTGATAGTTCAGGTGGTGACCTATCAGGGAAGGCTTCGGAGGCATAATGTGCTGTTATAGCTTGTATAGCCTCCCGACTTTTGTTATATGTGCTGATCTGTTATATATTGCCACATAGGGCCCATATACTCTAATGCTGTAAACTAATACTTTTAATCACTACTATATGATATGGGGGTCGTTGGAAGGCTAGAGATATTTAAGACTTTGCGTATTACGCACTTTTGATAGTGTTGGCTTGTAACTAATGGGCTCCATGACTTATATTAAAATGATTTATCAGTTCGTATGTTTGAAAGTATAAGTTTGGTTTGGGCTAATGGTTGAATGATATTTCTGGACTTTGGAAGTCCAAAGCCCAAGTTAACGATCAATGTTGCTCGTAATATAAGTTTATTTCTTTTAACTATGATAGCGATTTTAAAATTTTAAGGTTTCTTCTTTTCTATCATGGTTAATCATTCAAATAAATTGTTTGGTTTAATCTAAAATGGTTTTGAAAGAGCGGTTGTCACATTTTCCATGCTATTTGTTATGTTGTATTTTTTTAATTGGTGATGACATGTCACAATATGAGTGTTTTGAATCAAGAATAAAACACTCTGACTATCTTTTTAGTTTGCATCAATTACATAGTTCTTTTCTCTATTTTAAAAGCATATAGTTTAGTCTAATTGGTTAACAATGTTAATAGGAGTATTCTAAAAAGACTCTAAAAATATTATATTTAATTGAAATTTATATTAAAATAAAATTTATTTACTATTTTACTTCTGATTCTAATAAATTCCCAAATTATATTTTTATAGTTACATTAATTTCATTCAGTTAAGGCAAATATAAAAAGATTTGATTAAAATTTTAACTAATTGTTTTTAATAAATATATATTTAACTAATTATGTTTATAAATCTTTGTAATAAAGAAGTGTTTAAAAGTTTTGAATTATCAATTGAAATAACTTATAAAATATTTTAAATAAAAACTAGGAATTTGAAATATATTTTTACAATTTAAAAGAAATCAAAGTAAATAATTTTTAATGAATGTACCAACTAGAGAAAAAATCTTTATTTTTGAACCCTTCATTTCAACCCAATGGCCTTAAAAGATTTTAGCCCAATTAAATTTTTAATTTCATGCAATAAATTGATATTTATTAAATTTAATTTTATAAAAATAATGAAATAATAAATAGGTATTATAAGGTATAAATAATATATGTATGTGTACAATTAAAAAAAATCTTCATGATATGTTAATTATTAAAATAATATTACAAGAAAGAATTTTAATATTAAAAAAATATATAAAATGTATTTATATAGTGCAATAATATATTAATTAATACTTGATATAAATAAAATTATAGAAAGAGCAAAAGAAACAAAAGGAAAAAAAATCTCTATTTCTTAAACTAATTTTTTTATTTTAATTACAAAGAAATAATTTACAAAAAATGATTAAAAAATTATGAAAATTACTAAATTTGTAATCAAGTTTGTTTACTATACTTTAATAGATTTTGACAATAATAGCAATAACACATCTTTTATAGTAGTTTCTAATTTGGGATTATGCAGTTTTCATTATATTTTTTTTCCCTTAGATGTGGATTCCATTATGTGTTTGGTTATATAGGATATTCTAACCTTAACCAAGGTCAGGGGTTCAATTCCGCTTGGGAATGCAGCAGCATGGAGTGGTAGGTAAGCCATCCGTTAGGGGATCCTTCACAGGTGCTGCTTCGGATTAGTTTGGATGTATTGAATAGCCTAAAAGATGGCATTGGCCTGAGATACCGGGATAGATCACTCAAAAAATAAATAAATATTGATTTTGCAAAAAAGTAATGGTATAGTGGAGTTAATTTATTTGTATAACTTAATCTTGCTTGACTTGATTATAATAAAATGATTAGGAAGTAGAATGGATCATAGAAACAAGTTCATGTCTGTATTTGCAAATGGATGGATTTTTAATGGCCCAGCCAGTGTGACATTTGAGTTTGATAATATGAAAATTATCGAAGTTGATGAAAATATTACCTTGGGCAAATTGAAGCAAGCTATTGGATGAAAGTTGTGACTTCCTCCCATCAAAACGTGACAAATTTAGTATATAGATATTCTACATGCATAAATCCACCATAATACCAAGCATGCAATTTGGAAGATGATACAGATATAAAACAAATGTGGCAAGTGACCAGAAGATTTTCAACTCAATTAACATGTGCAGAGTTGTATGCTAACATATGTGATTTACCAGATAATAGCCATGTTGATTCACAACCCATAAGTGATTATGTTGAAAATATGCTCCCATCAAGTAGCAATAGGGTGAACATGATGGAACAAGAATATATGTTTAGTGATCACATGGAAAATTTCCAACCATTTGAACTCCCTATAGATGGTGGGAACATTGTATCATCATGTTCTCTTCCTCACGTAGAAGATATCATAGATGATGGAGGATGAAGAAGAATATGATTATCATTGAAATGCTAGTAATGGGGATGATAATGGTGACAATGACAATGAATATGATGAGATGAACGAGCAAAATCAGGTTGCAAATGCTTCCTTGTCACAAATTCATGTTGAGTCAGGTACAACTCCTGAATTTGGTGAATTAGAAGATATTCTGCATGTCAATGATAATGAAGAGTTAAATATTGAAAAATATTTAGCAATGTCTAAGTTCTAAGACGTCCAATCAAGCTATATTTTGTTTATGTTCATCATACATTTAATGTCTATTATTCTTATTAAAAGTATGAAGAATATCATTGTGTTAACTATGGAGAAAATTACAATTGGAGAGTAGGGCTTGCAAAAAAGAAAACAAGAAATATTGGCAAATTACAAAATGTGGGGGGCCTCATGCATGCTTGAGCACGTCATTAACTCAAGACCATCCAAAGTTGGACGCAAATGTTATATCATCCTGCATTATGGCAACGATAACTAACAAACCACATGTAAAAGTGTCACAAATTATTGAGAGGATGCAATCAATATTTGGTTATACTGTGTCATATAGGAAAGCATGGAAGGCAAAACAATTAGCAATTGTGATTGCTTTTGGAAATTGGGAGACCTCATATTCCTTGCTCCTAAGATGGTTAGCTGTAGTTCAACACTTCATGCCTGGGTTATGCATATATTTTTCAAACAAACAATGCTCTCAAGTCAATACAAATAGTCAGCCGATAGAAATGTTTCATCATGTTTTTCAAGCTTTCAAGCCATGCATAGATGCATTTCCATATTTAAAACCCATTATACAAGTTGATAGAATATTCTTATATGAAAAATACAAGAGCACATTGCTTATGGCAATATCACAAGATGGCGACGGAAATGTTGTGCCACTTGCATTTGCTATAGTTGAAGGGAAAACAAGATCTGCTTGGGCGTGGTTCTTACACCTTGTACACCAATGTGTTGTAAAAGATAGAACATGAATTTACTTAATTTCATATAGACATCGTTTAATTTTGGCTATTGTTGCTCAACCCCAAGTTGGATGGCAACTGCCACATAGACGTCATGTTTTTTGTCTATGACATGTGGCTTCAAATCTTCACAAAGCACATAAACAAATTGGTTAAAATAGAAGTTTATAAATATCAGTGAGATTCCTTGTGCTTTTTATGATCTTATAACTATATGATTTTATAATCATTCTAACAAGTGCTAATAAATATGTAGGGTAAGCTTATGAACGTCATGTTGTTGACAGAGAATTAACAGAAATAGCATTGCACCATACTCCTGCAGCTAGATGGATCAAAGCCATCCCAAAAGAGAAATGGCCACGTGTATATGATCTTGAAGGTCTTCGTTTTGGAGACATGACAACCAATCTTGCAGAGTACATGAATAATGTATTTAAAGGTGTTCGAAGTCTACCAATAACAAGTTTAGTTAAGGCAACCATGTATAGAGTCAATAATTATTTTGTGAAATGTGCCCAACAAGTTCATGCTCAAATTATGGTTGGTAAGGTATTTTCCGAGACAATGACAAACAAGTTAAACATAGCAACACAAAGTGCATCTACGTGTGTAGTTCAAGATTTAGCATAATAGCAATATCATTTGAGGTTATGGAACCATATAATGTTTGATGTCGTCAATTTTGTCGATGTTGCAAGGTGAATTTGATTGACAGAAAATATGATTGTGGAGAGTTTCAAGCAGAAAAGTTTCCGTGTATGCATACCATTGCTGCTTGTACACGAGTAGGCATAGACCATTTACAATATGTGGATCTACTTTTTTGGTTGGAAACCATACAAATGGTTTATAATCATTCCAACCAATGGGAGAAGAGATTTACTGGCCATAGATTGATTGTCTTCTTCTAATACCTAACCCATCAATGATTAGAGATAAATGACGTCCTTGCTCAAGTCGAATACAAAATGAGATGGATTAGACCACATCCAATGAACCTAACAAGTATGGATTATGTCAACAAGTTGATCATAACCGCTCTACTTGTCCACAAAGTGTAGCATCTCGACAATAAATTATGTATTTCACTTTTTGTAATAAAAACATTATGTTTTATGAAGATTATATTATAATTAGTTTGATTTTTTTTACATTATTTGGAATTTGTCCTTTAACTTATGCAGAGACATTTTAAAATGGCACAACTTCCAGAAGAGGTGTGTGAATGTCTTCTAGGTATTAGACCATCTGCAGATAGGCTAAGTGAGCAACAACTACTTATAAGTTGGTTGGAAGAGAACTTTAATCACCTACCTGATAATGCAGATGATGTACAAGTGCAACAATTCACTTGTGCATATATCCTCAAGTTGATTGGTGGATATCTCAAGCCAGATAGATCGGGTAGCAGGGTGTATATAATGTACCTTCCACTACCTTATGATCTTCAAGAAGCTAAAAAAATATAGTTGGCGATCAGCAATTTTAGCTCACCTGTATAGAGAATTATGTAATGCTACTAACCCAACTGAGGATAGGATTGGAGGATGCTTATCATTACTTCATTTATGGGTATGTGATCATTTTCCTATGCTAGCACCACAACAACCTATGTATCCAAATCCACAATCTGATATCTACCCTCTCTTACCTCCTTTTGGTTTTCAGGTGCGCTAAATTTATTCACCAATTATTTGTTATGCTCTTATATTATTAAAATTATACAGTTTTTAACAT